TTGTTTACAACAGTCACCAATAGCTACGCCAAGCATCCTTCGCTCTATTGCTCTCTCCGCCACTGCAATCGCTCGCTCTTCAGCCCTCGTGAGTGACCACGTTTAACACAGCAGTACTGAAGAGGTGGGCATGGTCCTTCCGACTCGATACTTTAAGGACATCGATAGTGCTGTGGAATTTAAACTAACTGGCAGCCCTTTGACATATAAACAACAGTTGTATTCCATATTTAACTCTTCTCCGAAATAGACATAACTGTCAACTTCTTCCAAAAACACACTGTCTATCTGTAATCCTGCTGCGAGCATATCGGGACTTTGCACATCTTCGTTTTGGTTGCGTTGATTTTTAGGCCCGCTTCCTTCGAGCACTGAGCTACTGCAGCACCTCATTTATTTCGTGAGGGTTATTGCCAATTAGAACTATTTCATCCACGAAGCGTAAGTGATTTAGCTGTTCGCCGCTGACCTTCAGGCCACCTTTTCAATCCAACTACCCAAGTACAATTTCGAGACAAACGGTAAAAAGCTTCGGCGATGTGGGATCATCTTGCCTCACTCCTCTTTCGAACGGTGTGCGAATTGAAATGGAAAAAAAACCACGCTTGTCGAGCAGCTTATGTTCGCTTCCTTAACAATTTCCATATAGTCCCCACCAATTCCTCCGTCTATAAGAGCTCGTAGCACAGCATTCAGCTTGGCGCCATCGAATGTTTCTTCGTAATCGAGAAAATTGGAGACAAAGAAGCGCTCGTTTTTTGTTCGTAGAAAACCTACTACTGCCGTAGGTTAAGGAGATTTCTCACCGCCTTTATTATCCTATTGCTTTCTCGTTCTTTTCTTTTCAATTTTTAATGAACCTGTCAAGCAGAAAAATTCCTAGCCAGCGTTAACTGTAAAATTTTTGACTCAAAACAGACCATCAAAAAGAAACGGTAACAAAATCTACAGTGTTCAGCCTCCTGCAGGAAAATGAGGAAAGTCACGCTTTTCACAGTAGCTACCAAAAATTTCAGTACAGTTAAGTAGAGCAAGACGTGGATAGGAGAGGGCGGAAGGTTAATCCTGAATATATGCCTTTTTGCAGAATTACGAGTGGGTGTGCTCACGTCCTAATGATTATTTTAAAAAAATGAAAATGGCGATGACTGACATACCATAACTGTATTGATATGACACTGAATTCGAATTA